TCCTGTCTTTTGTAGCTCTGTTCCGTCAACCATTTACACGCGCTTCTTTTTTTGCTTCTGCTATGCTTCAAGACATTTTTGGCTCTCCACAATTTCCTATTTTTTGTAGATCTTAGTAAGTGTTGTCCTTTTGCTATCTCTCCTAAACCTTGTTCCAACATCCATTTATTTAAACTCGTTAGGTAGGTAATATGCCGTTTTCCTCTGTCTCTTTTGCCTTCAATCTGTCCTATGGGTATCAAATTTTCCAAGCCCTCTTTATTAAAACATATCACCTGGACAGACCTCGGAAACATATAATATTGAATTTGGACATTATCTTACAAAGATTCTTTCTACCAAAGAGCGAGAATAAATTAATTGGGATCTTTTCTGTTAATTCATCCCAAATTAAAAAGAATTTATATTTACTAAAATTCACGCCAAATTCTCCCAGAGCGAGACCTTTCTATTGCACTCCGGTTGGGATGATAGAGTCGTTCCAAATGTAGGCGACTCTGGCGCGGTGTTTCTAAGAGTGAGGTCTATATTCACGCCAACTCCAATAAACAAGCCAAAAAAGATTTTTTTCTTCATTTTTTTAAATTGAAAAAATTCCTAACCTTAACCCGTGCCAAAATTTTAATAATAAAAAAAACAAAAAAAAAAACGAAAAAAAAAAGATTTTAAATTTATAATTTCTTGGGTTTAATATTTGCGATAAGTAACTTTACATTATTTGGGGTGACTTAACAGAAAAGATCTAACTAGTTATTATTAGATAAATTAGTAATAAAAACATTTACAAATATTAAATTATCATTCTGATGAAAAAATATTTAAATTTAATATTGAGTATTCAAATATAAAAACATGTCAACTGTGAAAACCAACATAGCGACAAAACAATAGAAAATTTCTATTACTGTATTTTATCTCAGTTTATTAAGTTAAAGGTTTAGCGAGAGATTAATAAACAAAACAAAAAAAAAGAAACAACAAAGTATATTAACTATAAAAAATAAAACCTCATCTCGAAATCTATTTGGTCTCATTATAACATGAATTTTGTTTTGTTTCATAATGGAGAACGACAACATTGCGTTTGTCATCCCGAAAGAAAATAAGTGTAACATTATGGAGTGGATTCATTCGGTACAAAGTCAAGTATTTTTAAAAATACAAAAATGGGATATCCTTTCAATGTTTATTATATGGAAAAATGTCGCACATGCGTACACGCCGACACGCATGCGCACGACATAAGCGGTAGATAGCGAGACCAAAATAAAAATAAGCTTCCATCAAAAACACAAAACCCCGAAAACAAATCCGAATAACCAGATTATTGATTGAATGAAAAAACCAGCAGACGATTTAGTTTCATTGAATTTGGATTTGATAAGCCTGATAAGCAATTCTAATTAAAAAAAAAATCTTTTTGAAAACATACAAGAGTCACCAAAACAAGACATCAAATGACAAATTCAAATATACATCGAATATCAGTTGTAGACTTTTAATGAACTCGAATTATACCCATCTATCCACACACACACACACACACACACACTCTCTCTCTCTCTCTTACACACATAAACATGCACACACACGAACATATATATATATATATATATATATATATATATATATATATATATATATATATGACTTTTCTTTTCATACTAAAGCAATTTATTCTGTGTGTTGTAAAGAACAAAAACCAAATATTTTTTGTGGGACTTTGTTTTGCGAGGATGTTTGTGATTCATTTCGTTCAATTTGAAAGAAAACAAATACTCAATAATAAAATGTATTCAAAATTTACAGAGATGTGTTTGAAGATTGTTTATTTCTTCGCTTATTACAGGCTTTTTCCTCTCTCTCTCACAATCTATCTATCTATCTATCTATCTATCTATCTATCTAATCTCTCTCTCTCTCTCTATCTAACTATCTATCTATCTATCTAATATATCTCCCCCTCTCTCTCTCCTGTTTATTTCTTCGCTTATTACAGGCTTTTTCCTCTCTCTCTCTCTTTTTTTCTATCTATCTATATATCTATCTATCTCTCTCCCTCCCCCTCTCTCTCTCGATTTCTCTCTCTCTTTCTATATATATATATATATATATATATATATATATATATATATATAGTATAGCTGGCCACTATCTAGCCAATCAGTATTGCAGGCGCATTTGTGTTTATTCAGCACCTACAAAGCCCACCTGTGGTTTATATTGCAACTATGTTTCTGGGAATTTTATCTAGTGTGATCAACAATTTGGACAAGGCCAGCACGCTCAAGTCCTCGGCCACGATGACTTGTAACTTCGTGCTAGCAAGCTGCCGTCGATAGCTCTGTGGTATGGCTTTCAGGCACTTTCCAAAGATGCCGCACGCTGGGATCGACCTCTCCAGTACGATAACATCGACCATGGTGAGAATGCGAACCACTCGGCCACGTACCATATATATATATATATATATATATATATATATATATATATATATATATATATATATATATATATATTGTCATCCACAGACAGACTGTTTCGCTGTATCACAGCTCATCAGTGTGGCTAGACATCCGGTTGCCTCTAGCTAGGATCGAAACCCGATTGAATTGGCGTCAGTCGGGGATATATATATATCTATGTGTGTGTGTGTGTGTGTGTGTGTGTGTGTGTGTGTGTGTGTGTGTGTGTGTGTATACGAGGTCTGATCAAAAACTATCGTGACTGGTGCTATAAAAAGAAAACATCAACACATATTAATTCGGCAGTTAATCTCCTTTGAAATAGTCCCATTCTGAAGCCACACACTTTATCCAGTGTCGTTTTCTCCCATGAAAGCATTCCTGGAACTGCCTCGTCGCATTCTCTGGGATTTCCTCAACATCTTGAAATTTTATTCTTTTCAGTGGAATTTGGTTTTTTGAAAGAAGAAAAAGTCTTAAGTGTCTCAAGTTTGGAGAATTTGGTGGTCGTCGGACCTGGGATATGTCTTTTTTTTTACTTTTTTAATCGAGTTCACCCCTAGCAAGGCTGTAAAGCCACTAAGACACAAGGGATTATTTGGTGTGGAAAAATTAGAAAACAGAAATATTACTAAGGAAAAGAAATGTGATATTATCCATTACACCAGCTGAGGGTCGAGACAATTTATAATAATTTAAATTCATACACCATCTGAAAATAAAACAACAAAAAGAAGGATTTGAACAAGATTTTAAAATAATTTCATTTATTTTAATAAATTTGAAGCTTTTCCCTATCCAGTAATGTCTTGAATGGGTTTCTCGCTCTTAACATTTGCATTTATTAGTTTATCGAAATCTTTTTGAATAAATAATTCTCTCTCTCTCTCTCTCTCTCTCTCTATATATATATATATATATATAAAAAGAAAGAACAGTAAGATATATAATCCGCTGATCTTATAGATATTCTTCTTTTTACAAAATAGTGCTCAATGTAAATTTACAGAGCATTAATATTATAAATTAATTGATTTAAAATATATTTTTTTTCGCTACACAGTTCTAACCATGTTTCAAAAATGGAAGCTAAAAGCCCCGAATTTAATTTTGTAATTAAATTAAAGACATTAGTTCCATTTCATCTTTAAGCGAAAAATTCGCTTGAGGATGAAATGGAACTAATGTCTTTAATTTAATCGACAATTGATATATATATATATATATATATATATATATATATATATATATATATATATATATATATTATAAAAGTAATTGATTTAAAATTTATATATATTATAAATTAATTGATTTAAAATTCTCTCTCTCTCTCTTCTCTCTCTCTCTCTCTATATATATATATATATATATATAATAAATTCATGAATCATTCATACAGAAAACAAATATAAATGTTAATGATTTAAATGGCGAGAATACATCGTCGCAAACAATATAAATAAGATACATCAACCCCGAACCTGTATATGAATGATATGATCCCTGTTTATAAATTCCAGTTGCATAAGGTCTTTTTAATTTTTTACAAGCTTTCGTCTGTTCCTACAGACATCATCAGGTATGGAAGTAGATTTTGTTTTTGTTTTTACTTCTCGGTAATAAGAGGACAACGAAAATAGAGATGTAATCCGAAAAAATGCTATGAGAAATGTGTTATTGTTTTGGAACGTGCGGTCACAACGCCGAGTTTGAATTTAAATTTTAAGGTTGTGCGTTTTTGTACAAATATAGCAGTAAGAGAATTCTTTTTTACTGGTAGATATTCCGTGAATATGGCATGAACTATAGTGTTCAATAATTACAGTAATGTCACACTTATTATCCGAGAGTTGCACGTTGGATCAGTTATTTTAATTTCAATTATAGGTGCAATTATAATTTATAAATTCATGAATCATTCATACAAAAAAACAAATATAACAAATATATTATAAATTATAATTGCACCTATAATTGAAATATATATATATATATATATATATATATATATATATATATATATATATATATATATATGTGTGTGTGTGTCTGAAATTTTCTCAATCTGACACAAGGCTATAACAGTGTGTTTTTGTGAAAATCTCATTATATTACGAATCGTTTAAGAGGCGAGCTTGTTAAGCATCACAAGGTTTACCAAGGTTTAATTTTATTAAAAAAAACACCATAAGTACAACTTAGTTTCACACAAGGCTTAAACAATGGGGGGGGCATCCAGTGAATTTGTGACTTAAGAACAACTGTTTGCGAGATAAGCATTACACTTCGACAAAACGTAGAATAAACAGTTTTGTTATGCCTGTTAGTGTCTTGCAACGAATACAGAATCCCTTGAAGCAAATCATGATGAAGGGCCGTGGTGGTTGTTGAATTGCAGTTTTTGATGACCTATTGACATCAGATTTGAAATTCGGGTTGAATGCACTCATAATCATGAAGAAAATAACACAACTCACTCAATCGATTATCGATTCTGAATGAATTCTTTGTTTGCTAATTGATTAACCATTGTTAGTCGGTCATAGCAACGAGAGGAGAAGGCATAAAAAGAGAGAGGAAAAGAGTAAGAGAGAGGCGATAAGGAAAGAAAGAAAGATCAGATATAAGAAGACAAGAGAAAGTGTAAAAAGAAGGTAAGGAATGAGAGGAGAGAGAAGAAAAAAGGAAGGAGGGGGTATAATAAGGTGAGAAAAAAAGGGCTAAAAGAAAGAAAGAATGAATATAAGGAGAAAAAAGATAAACGGGAGGTAACGAGAGAGAAAGGAGATAAAGAAAGAAAGGGTATAATAAGGAGAAAATGGAAGTGCTAAAAGAAAGAAAGAAAGAAAGAAAGAAAGAACGAAAGAAGGAATGGATTTAAGAAGAGGAGAGAAAGGGCAAAAAAGAGGTAAGGGAGACAAAAGAAAAAAAGAAATATAGAATTTCACGGCTTTCCTGTTTTAATTTTGTGTCTATTATTTAAGGAGCTTACTTTCTTTTTTCTTTCTTTTTTTCTTTCTTTTTTCTTTCTTTTTTCTTTCTTTTTTTCTTTCTTTTTTCTTTCTTTCACTAAAAGTAAGTAGCGTCTTTGTTGTGTCTTTTCCCTCTTTTCACGCGATCAAAACGCAATAGGCCATTATTTATGAGGTATTGGCAAGGCGTTACGGTCGTGTTATATAAGGGAGGGACAACAGTTATAATATACCTATAGTAGAATCTCTTTCTCTCTCTCTCTATATATATATATATATATATATATATATATCAATGTAATTGTCCGGGTTTCAATTCTCGGTAGTGGATGCCCACTGCTGATGAGTCCCAAATATAGGATGAAACGGCCGTCCAGTGCTTTCTGTTGAGGTTTATTCTAGAATCGACCTCCTTTGTTCAACCAGTTTGAGATCCTGACCTCCTCTACCGACAAGGATGAATGCTTTGCTCGGAAATTCTCATTTAATTCAACGCTCGACTCCTCCGGTGTACCCATACCCGACTTCCCTCTGAGGCCCTATTGAGCGGGTTACACATAACACCGTCATTGGTATTGGGCATTATCTCCAATTTAGACCCCCACAAGGCTAGTGGTGGAGATGGCATACCAGCCATTGTCTTGAAGAAATGCGCGCCTGAACTAGCGCCCGCCCTCTCTAAACTATATAACTACTGCCTCGAGGAATCCTGTTTTCCTGGCTGCTGGAAGTCATCATCCATTGTTTCTGTCTTTAAGAACTCTGGCGACCCCTCTGACTCCTCTAATTTTCGTCCCATTAGTCTCCTACCCCTCTTCGGCAAAGTCTTCGAAGCCCTAATCAACGCCGAAGTGGTTAACCACCTTACCTTACATAACCTGCTCTCAGACAAGCAATAATGTTTCCGCTACGCCCGATCTACAGCTGATGTGCTTACAGCCATCACTGAAACCGTCTACCAAGCCCTTCAAAATAACGGTGAGGCTCGTGCCGTGGCCCTAGACATCTCCAAAGCGTTTGATAGGGTTTGGCATGCCGGCCTTCTTCGCAAGCTCCAGGATTATGGTATTACAGGTCGATTTTTTGACCTAATACAATCATTCCTGTCAAACCATGAATTGAAGGTCGTTCTCAACGGATTATCCTCCAGTTCCTATCCCACGAACGCAGGTGTTCCCCAAGGCTCCATCCTTGGCCCCACTCTATTCCTTATTTTCATCAACGACCTTCCTGTCGCCATAGATTCCCAAGTTGGCATCTACGCGTACGACACTACAATTTACTCCTGTCTCAAAAACAAATCTAGTGTCACTGACAAAACTAACCTGGCCGTGCGTCTTGAAATGGACCTCCAATCGGTTGTTAATTGGGGCAAGAATTGGCTGGTCAACTTTAACGCCTCAAAAACTAAACTACTCTCTATTAATCACCATAGAGATCCTTCCCTGCCCCCCGCCCATTAGGATGTCTGATGCTCAACTTCTTGAGAGCAACTCTCTGCGTCTGCTCGGTCTCACGTTGACTGCTGACCTGAGATGGAACAAATACATTGTGTCAATTGCTCATCATCCATCACCCCCGGAGCAAGGAAAGTTGGCTCTCTGTGCCGCACCAGGAAATTTTTCTCCCCGGAATCGATACTTCAAATATACAAATCAACCACTCGCCCTTGCATGGAGTATTGCTGCCATATATGGTCTGGTGCACCTTCTGTTTGCCTCAGAGTTCTTGACAAGATCCAGAGGCGGATATGCAATATAATTGGCCCTGTTATGGCATCTCGTCTACAGTTGCTCTCTCACAGACGCGCCGTCGCCTCTCTCTGTCTTTTTTACAAATACTTTCATGGTAATTGCTTCGATGAACTGCTTTCACTGGTTCCCAGACTTTATGAATTCAAGCGCCCTACGAGGCTGGGATCCCGCTCTCACCCTTTCACTGTCGAAACTTCTAAATGTAGCCGTCTCTTCTACTCCAATAGCTTCATATCTCGCACCTCTCGCGTGGAACACCCTTCCCTATTCCTGTTTCCCTGAGAGCTATAACCTCCAACTATTCAAATGTAATGTCAATCGACATCTCCAGTTACCTTAATATATCCACTTCTTCTCATCCTTTCTTCTATCACTCCTATCTGCTCTCGCTCCAAATCTTCTGCAACCCCCTGCATCCCAGTGGCTCCCCGCCTTGCTCGAGGCGTAATGCTTAAAAAAAAATTACTTAATTATCTCAAATCCTCTTTAATTTCTATCATTTGTATATCCTTGCTTGAACCAGCTTCCAATGCTCTGGATGGAGTGGCTTGGTGATGGTAGTCGTGGCTCTCGGAGGAACAGTCCTATGGGTAAAGGAACTTGGATGAGTTCCACCACGGAACATGTGAACGAGCGGTGCAATATCAAGTCTTGTTCGCTACCTCTTCGTCACCGAGTTGGTTGGACGTTTGCCTGTCAATGTAGCTGTCCGGGTTTCAATTCTCGGTAGTGGATGCGCACTTCCGATGAGTCCCAAATATAGGACGAAACGGCCGTCCAGTGCTTTCTGCATTCTGTTGAGGATTCTTCTAGACTCGATGAATTACTTATATATATATATATATATATATATATATAAAATTCAGGATGTAAGTTGGATCCGCTACTTTGGTTCCAACCTTACGGACGTAGAATTAAATCTTCAAGATGGTAGTGTCTCTCCATACATGAAACGCAACGCAAAATTAAAATACGTGGATATTAGATCTAACCACCCTGCGGACATAAAGGACATCCCCAAAGGAATAGAGTTTAGGTTATCCAGAAACTCTTCTAGGAGAATAATTTTTGAGGATAAAAAAGAAAGAATATGAAAATAACATAAAGATAGAAGGTCACAAAACCAAACTAGAATCTAAACCTAAAATTAAACAACATATGAAGAATAATTCGAGGAAAAAAAAAATAAAATTAACCCCCACTTTCAACTTAGAGGTAAAATGTAATATAGAGAAATTATGTTTCATGTTACTAAACACTTCCCCCAAAAAATCAGAATTACATAAGATATTTAATAAAAACACAATTAAATTAAGCTACAGCTGCACTAGTAATTTAGAAACAATAATAGACAAAACGCCAGAAATCTAATGTATAGTTATGACAGTTCCGAGCGCTTTCGGTTAATTCTGTAGCCATTATCAAGGATGTTGTTTTAGGATGGTGAATTTTTGTGTGCAGTTTCTACATAGTAGTTTTACTGTGTGGACTATGTGCAGCCATTAGTGTATGCTTTATGGCGGTCACGTGCTATGCGTGGCCCGTTGTTCTGTGCATGACTTCTATTTTTAGAAAAAGTTTTAAACGCTATCTTCGTCTAAATAGTGTAAGATTGATAGCGGTCGAATAATATTTAATAAACAATGCTTCATTAATTATGAGTTGTGTACAGCTATGCGATTTGAAAAGAATCTTTCTGTTCTCGACTAGAAGTTTCCTTAAATTATGAGTTAAAAAATGTTTATTAATCGCACTCTGTTCAAAAGGTGGCATGTATGACATCTATTTAAGGAGGTAGTGATGTGTTCAATATAGGAAATTGGTTTTTGACAAGTAATGCAGTCTTGTACTGGGCATTGGAATTGGTATACTATATTGGTCAGCGGTAGTTTCGATTTGGTGGGGTTATTTCGGTTGGTTAAGACGAGTTCGTACTAGTACCAGTATCCCCCACCCTCGAGTAAAAACTTTTGTTTTCTAAACTATGATAGCATGTCCAGAAAGATATAAAGCTACGTATAAAATATATTGCTACACAGGCATCTGTGAATAAGTCCTGAAAATTTCATTAAAATCCGACAATTATTTGATTTTCGCAAGAATTTCTAAATCAATGTTTTTATCGGAAAAATGACGCTAAAATTCCCACAGTAATCTTTGCCCCTTCTCTCATCAAGATTTTGAACCAAAATTTCGAACTTACTAGAAAGGATTAGACAGTTTAATGAAATAATTTAAAAAATCCTTTGGTCTTTCCTCTTAATAATAACATAAATATTTTAACGATAAAACTTTGTTTTTATCAAGTCTTACATCATGGTATACTCTTTTTTAACGAAAATAATGGAGTTACCTAGTAAATGTTTTTGAAACCATAGCCTGAGTTGAACGAATTTCCCCCATTCTGTTCAAATTCTAAACTCTTTTCTAAAAGGAAGTGATTCTTTACAATTTCAACTACGAAACTTTTAATCAAGATCTGAATCCCAGCTGAAGTCATGGGCACCGAACATTCATCCCCACCCACCAACACTGACAACATTGGACACCATTTTTTATTAAACAGATACAGGCTCTATTTACACTGTTATCCTAATCTTGGTTATCATATTCACGACGTTTCGGCCGTTGTACGCTTCGCTCTTCTTCAGGTGATTGGAGTTTCGAACCGAACCCTTTATTTCGCCTACCGGTGTAGATTGTTCTAGTTCCACATGCCATGCCCTTTCCGGACATCCCAGTTTCAGTTATTTCCCTTTAGTAACTCAACCCTCGAATTTTTTATTCACCTCTCCAGGTACTGAAGTGGATTAAGTCACTGGATTACTTCAAACAACGCTTTTATCCCCTGGGTCATATAGCCTTGGGAATTGTGATATTAAAAGGAAATAACTGAAGATGAGATATCCGGAAGAGGCGTGGCACGTGGAACTTGGACACCCGTGAAGGAAATAAAGGGTTCTGTTCGAAATTACAATCACCTGAAGAAGGCCGGAGCGTACAATGGCCGAAGCGTCGTGAATATGGCAACGAATATGAAAACAGTCCGAACAATGTAAATAGTGTAAATATTTGAATTGGCTCAAAATATTTGAAATTCC